GTAACTACTCAACTACTACCATTTTCATCTGGTATTGAAAACTCTTCGTCATTTCAATAAGGCAAAATCTAACTAATTATTAAATTGTTCTCATCAGATAATACTGCAGTCTTGATTACAAGCTCGATAGCATATTACTTGTACTTTAAATTTATTGTATTGTACGCATTATTGCCATTTTATTCGTTTTGAACATCCATTTCTTTAAAAAAACATTAAAAGTCTCAACGTGGCACTCTTGGCTTATCCACTGAAGTAAGTACATGTCATACATTGAAGGAAAACGAACAAGCACAGAAGAACTCTTTTATGAAAACTATCCGGTTCTAGGCGGATATCCCAGCGTAAGTATGCGCCACCAATTCAAGGAACTTGACTTGACACGGTGAGCGCTGAATGAACTGCACTGACCTTCTTGTGAAAACTGCAGTTTCGGAGCAGTTTTTTTTTCGTCATTTCGAGAGCTAATGCTGGTACCAAATGAGAGCTTATTCTTCGAAATCTTTTTATTCCAGAGGGATTTTAGAAATTGATGTGCCACTTTTACTTTTCAGTGGCCAAGTAACCCCGCCACGGTGGTCTAGTGGCTAAGGTACTCGGCTGCTGACCCGCAGGTCGTGGGATCAAATGCCGGCAGCAGCGGCGGCATTTTCGAAGGAGGCGAAAACGCTGTAGGCCTGTGTGCTCAGATTTGGGTCCACGTTAAAGAACCCCAGGTGGTCAAAATTTTGGGAGCCCTCCACTATGGCAACTCTCATAATCACATGGTGGTTTAAGGATGTTAAACCTCACATATCGAGTGGCCGAATAAGTCAAAGTGTTCAAAAGTTGAATGTTTCTATAAAGCCCTGCACTTCAAACTTCACTTGCAATTCGGAACATGTTTTCTAATGTGAGTCAAGGTGGCGCTTTCATGAGGTGTCGGGATTGTTGTGTATAGATCCTATTTTTTCGGTAACTTTTCGAGAGATAGCTGCTATGGTTATATATTAGCGAATAACGACGCTCTTTCTTGGAAAGCGCGCTTGTTTACAATGGCGACAACACTGTGGTAAGCTAAATAGCGACGTTCGAGATGTCAAGATGCCTGAGCTCTGAAATACAAAATAGTCACTATGAAGTAGAAAAGCGAAAGCTTGCCGTTCTGTTGAGCTTGCGAAGCGCAGTTCTCCAATGGACATACATTAGTGATATCAATGGCCAATAAAAAGTAGGGAAGATTGCCAGCATTGTTACACAAGTGTTATTTAAGTCATGCACGTATGGTGAGATAAGCTGACTTTATGGTCGTCCGTGAATATAAAGAAGCACGCCAAACTAGTTCGAATAAAAGTTAACGAACAAGCCGAGTAAGGGGAAACGTTTTTCCAAGTATTTGGTACCGTTATGGTGTAGCGACAATGAGACATGACAAATGCTGTCGCTTGGGGACTATTTTACTTTACGTATATTTTCGGGTGCATCAACTGTGACACGCCGAGACAGACGAATGGTCTTGCAAAGTTGTCATTAGTTATCTTTTGCGATAATCGAGAGAGTTTAGTGTTGAATAGTGGGATAAACGCAAAAATAAATAAATCCGTTGCATGGAAGGGGTAGATATTAGTCTTCAAACTTCTAAAATACAGCAGGTGACGAGAAAAAATTCGAGCAGCTATGCACGAGTGGGGTGAGGGCGGAGGATCCAGCGCACCTGGTGGGCATACATTCTTTTATTATTCCCTCCTGCCCACCCCTATTCCTTACCCTTTCCAGCCGTTTCCTATACTGTATATAGTATGTGCGGCATTACTATTATGTGCGGCATTACTGATTGAAATTCGGGCTTGCTGGTGCATGCTGCCGACTAAAAGAGCGCTAACTAAAAACAGATGAACACGAAAAGGGCGCCCGATGTGGGCGCTTTCTTTCAACATGCGCCTTTCCTCAGTCGCTTCCTTATATATCCGAGGAAACGCATCGCATGGCATACCATACGCACGAAGAACATATTCTCAGAAACTACAGCTCTTGATCACTCAGGGTGAGCGACGCGGGTCACACACGGGCGGAAAGTAGAGACGAGATAGCCTCAGCCCAAAAAATGTCTCTCGCAAGCCGGTTTTGTATCCTCTTGAATACTCCACATGCGCGGACAGCGATGCGCCGCCGTAGAGTCTACAATTATTGGCTAACCATCCACAGCGTCTATTTTCAATCTTTCACGTTGTTCGCTAAATCTGCCATCAGTTTAAAGCCCTGTGTTACCATTATAATGTTTGACGCAATAAAAATGAGAACTTACATACAATGATGAAAGGAGAAGTATGGGAAAAGTATAAGAAAAGCAGCATGTGCCGCTTTCCTTCACGCAGGAAATCGACACATGCTGCGTGAAGCGAACAGCCAAAAATTAGTGTTTTATACTCAGCGCAGTGACAGAAGACGGCGCTGACTGACGCTTCCACTTTTAAAGCGCATGTGTACCTTCGGAAGTGGACTGGGAAGTCAGCGCCACTGTAGCTCAGTGGTAGAGCGTTGAACTAACTTGCCACTAACGTCCACTTTTCTTGCTTCACATGTACACTACAATTACTTCTAATAACACTTCCTATGTTTTACTTGGCACAGTGTCTAAGAAAAAAAACAAGCCCTTAAATTCGCCCTTCTTTCCTTCAATTTTTTCTGCCATACGAAAGCAGGATGCGACACAGGACGTCTATTGTGCATATAGCAAAAGCTCTTTTGTGCTTGTTAACCCACCTTTCGCAGTTTTTCTTGAAGTTTAGTGAGCCGGAAAATGACAGGGGCGAGGTAAGTTATCGCAGAACGAAAATTCCAAACACTAGAACCTTTGCCAAGATTCACAGCGTATATAAAAATAAGAAAGAAGAGAGGGGATGTAATGAAGAGTAATAGATAAAAAGTAAGATAACTAGCCGAAGGCACAGCGTGGCGATTAGCGAAGTCGAAATTCATGTAGGTGTGATGGAAAAAATAACACAACCGACGGAATATTAGCTTCTAATAATCACCTGGAAACCTCAATTAAGTAAATCTATATCATCTGAAACAACGATTACCAGCTTTCGAACCGTGTCCCCGCGATAACTATTGAACATTTTTTCTATCCTGCCTCAGATATTAAGGCAAGTTCAAGTTTAACTGCAGAAATTGTAGCCTACTTCATTGCGTGCGTTTGAACATATTGTGACTAATATGTATTTGACGCAGTGTGCCATTTTAATTATTCCACTTGACGTGTCGCTCTTATTCTCTGCGTTAACAAATATTTGTTAGGCAAACTTTAAAAAAGTGTTAATTATAATAAAAAGAATGTTTACTTAGCATTATTACTACAAATATTGATAAAGGGTGTTGAAAAATTAAGGTCCAATTCACTTGACGGAGTTTCCACTTCCGTGCGATTTGCAGGTGTCCAAGTCTACCATATTCATTCTAAACTGTTTTGTTAAAAACATACACTGTGTGATTTGTCAAAAACTGTTGGTTTTATTATATTGATATGTTCTTTTCACTTCAGCTTCGAAGGAAAGTACACAGGCTGAAACAATTGTCCAACTTAATAACAGCTCTTTCAACCCACAGGTTTATGTGACACCAATTGCAGCTCGTCAAACACAGCTTCATCACGGTCTCGCCACATGAGACCAGAACAAACATTTGCAAATTTCCATTCCTTCCACGCGTGTAAAACGATTAGAATGATCGGAATCTATCAAAAGTAATAAGCACAAATTCTGTTGAACGTTTATTCACCTAATGTAATCGCCATTGTCGCGATAGCTAATCCGTCATTTCCTATTTTAATTGTTCCTATATGTGTCTTGCGTGGCTATAAGAAATGTTCATGCGCATGCAATGCGTTTTTACTGCAACTTTTTGTCAGTCACATAACTTTTATTTACATTGTTATTCATGTTTCTTCAATGTATGTCCTATTTTAGTAGTCACCGCTACAGTGGCTATATGCCTGGTTAGAGCACCCGCCTCCAAGGCGCGATGTGCCGGGATCGATTCCCAGTGCCGACGGAACACCCACCGGTTTTTCCCAATGGGTAGAGGAGTACACGGACCTGGCACTCGGTTGTTTCTAGGTACTTATCTCAAAAGGTAGCCCGATAAGTTTCTGCGAATGCCCCTGGGCGTACCTTAACCCACCACTGCATTGGTGAAATAGTTGGGCATCCGCCGCAGCTGTGGGAGGCAGAGAATTGCCGCCACCAGGTACCTACTAGTTAAACAGGTACAAGCGCACCTTCGGTCTGGTTCTCGGCAGAATGAAGTTGTAGACGCTTGAGAGGGCACCCACCTCTTGGGAAATTTGCGGCATGGTAACGCCAGACCTACAATTAGGGTCATCCTTTTTTTCAGCATTTTCCCTGATTATTATTGGTGTATTGCCCTCTTGCTTGAATCCAAATAAGGTCTTCGGTATTGCGCAAATAAATAAATAATACCTTTTTAATGATAATAAATTTTGAAGCGACCTTCGTATTGTTACGGGACGCAGTATTGTAATCTATCAGTTTTTCCCACTGTTGTTGTCAATTAAATACTTATCTCCACATTCCAATGAAGGTCCCATTTAGATGCATATTACGTGACCGCTTTCATTACATACTACTTGCACGTTGAATTGGGATATAATAAATCTTGTTTTGGTATACTCTGATATGATTTTTCTTTACCTCATTGTTCCATGCACATAAACAAGCAAACTAAGAAACCAGAACCGCTCAAGAGGTCAACAGCTTCACAAAGCGTCACTGGATTTCGCCCTAAATTGGTAACACTGTATTATCCCGCGCGAGCAATTGTTTCGGCCAGTGGCTGTTCGAGTGTCCCGCCACCACTTGTCACGACCTTATTTCGGTTGCTGTATCAGTGTTTGCGCCGCTGATAAGGAATCTGTGACACCGGATGCCTCTAGTTCCGACACCATATAAGAACCCTGGCTGGGCCGGGGCACGTCATAAGAGCTGGTCCCTTTAGTAACCACGCGGGTGGAAGCTCGACGATGGAGCGGTGCTCTGCCAAGCTCGTCGATCAACGAGGTATCACCAATCGACAACCGTCGAGCTATCACCAATTGACAACCGACAAGGTATTACCGATTGACGACCGATGAGTTATCCCGATCGACAACCATAGAAGCGTCACTGATATGTGAGGGACCGGATTACTCAACGCCAGAACTTAAGCACCGAGTCAATGCATCTGAAAACGAGGCTATATCGAACGTATACGCAAAAGGCATCTTGGCTTTTTTTTTTCGTTTGTGAAAATATTTGTTTGATACCCTCACTTTATATGCAATGAAGTTTGTGTTTGTTACTATCGAGTCCCGGTAATCATTTCGCATGCTCAAAATGTCGTACCAGGCGCCGTTTCACGCGCGACGGTTACCTACATTTCTACTGTCCAACAATGGCTGTTTACCGTGGCATAACTCACCTCCGGAGCGTGAGGACATAGGTTCGAACCCAAGCACTGTAGTGGAGTGGAAAACTATTGCATGCATGCATTCCTCGATTGCTTTTAGCATCAATCTTATGTGTGTGAGAGAGAAGTTATTTCGTGTATGCATTCATGCATTCATTTTAGCATTATTATTATGTAAGAGTGAGAAAGAGGAGAGATAGACAATGTTCTCGTTTTATCAGCACAGAAACTCCTACGCACCGAAGCTGTCGTCCCATAGCTGTACTGGAACGCAGGCCCCCACACGCATGAGTCTAGTTCATTTGCACATCACGCTGACGCGACGAATAACTAAACGAAGAAGCGAGCCCATTAAAGGCTATTTACAAATATAATCGCGAGCGACTACACAAAACCCTCAAAATGGCCGGATGCGAAATGGCCGGATGGGTGTCGCATATAAACACGGTTCTCATTCCGGGTGCAATGTGTAAAAAGAAAAGCTAAAATAAGGCAATGGGTTTATTCTCTGTTCTTCACGACCCTGTCCGGTGTCATAGGTAAACGTGTTTTCGCAGTTCCTCATGCACTCGTGAGACGAAGCTTCATGGCTGAATAGGTAAGTCGGTGCGGTGGCCTAAAACGGGGTCGTTTACACTACAATATTCTCTTCGTGTACCTATTCTATAGGCATCGTAGTTGATGCCGTTATTCATTACGCCTTGTTGGGAGCAGAAATTGCAATGATTTCATTTGAGTTGCGTGTATTTTGCGGCGAAAGCATTTGTTCAATGTAGCAGAAATCGAGGGCCGTATCTGCAGCATAGCTATCATCATAGGGTGTTTAGAGTGTTCTAATAATGGGAAAAAGAAGCGGTAGCCATCGCGCCAATCTCATTTATTACACGAATCTTTCAGTTCTCAAGTGAAGTGGTAGCCTTATTTTTTTTTTCAAGTAATAATACCCCAAATATTTTGCCGAAACTGTTGATCTACTTGTTCGTGAACCTCAGGCGGATTAAAAACCATCGCGCTATTATCACACAAAAGGCGTGCCTTTTCGTCATATAAGACAGAAATATCTCCCCATAAAAAGCCTAATAAAGTATAAAACTGGACCTTTGAGTCACTGATGCAGATAAAGACGGAGCTGGTTCTGTCTAGCAAGAACGGTCACTTACCACTCAAGTTTTTATGAGTGCAAGAAATCATTCAGACTTCCTCACGGTATTATATATTCTGGGGTGCAACACTTCCACACTACCGGTAAACACAGCTTAACGCCTGTACGTAATAAAAATCTATTCGGAATTAGCAAAGTGCCATCACTGAAAATTCTTTCGAGAGGTGCTCATAAAGTCAAAGTTGGTTGAAGTGAAGCGTGCAAAAAAAATCAAAGACAAAGTAAACGAAGGACACAAGAAGAGTGCTTTCTTTCAACAGAGAATTTTAATGAAGAAAGATCAAACATTTACACATTTTTATTGTGCATGCTCTTACAAGGCAATAAAACTGAAAACACTTCTTCTTTGACAATAGGCATCTTATCTTAGTCACGTTAGCGGTAATAATCTAAAGGGGATAACGTTGAAGCAATACTTATAAAGGAGATATTTCGTTATGATGGAGCGCAATTGCGGGTTCACTGACACAGCTTTTTTCTGCCGTTTTAATTTTGCTTCGTATACTTTTTTTTGTTAGCAGGTCGCGGTGGTGGAAATGAACCCTCGTTCTCAAAAAATCTGCAGTGCAACCGCAGTCCCAGCCGTGAATGGCCAAGTGTGTCAAAGGCACAATACCAAAGAGAAAAATCGAAGTGTTTTCGCTGCCAAGGATAAGGTCGGCAATATTTGGGCGGTGGTGCGGAAACGCACTGAAAACAGCCTATTGTTGCATAATGCCTGCGCTATTAACTACGACAATATGCTTTTACAATGTGCCCTTCGAGTTGTAAACAACATATCATTCGCATGTGGAAGCATTTATATTGACCAGCAGGGGCGTTGGGTGAACTCGACACTGAAGAAGCACCAAATGTTTTTACGGAGTATTGTGCCCTTGACACACTTGGCAACGGACTGACAGGACTGCATGTGCGCAGCAGATTTTCGAGAACGAGGGTTCTTATCCGCCACCACGACCAGCTGGCAAGGAAAATACTTGAAGCCCACAGAATGCAAAGGGGTAGGCAAAATGGCGTCAGTGAACCGTTCATTGCTCTCAAGAAATATCAAATTTTGCTTGTGAACTGCTCAATTGTTTTTAGAATATTAACGCTAACATTGTTAAGATGAGATGCTTCGTGCCTATACGGATTTTTTTTCAGTTTTCTTGCCTTGTAAGAACATGCGCAAAAAAAAGGTACATGTTTGGTGTTTCTTCATCAAATTTATCAGAAGAAAGAGAGCACTCATCTTGTGTCCTTCCTTTACTCTGCCTTTGTTTTTTTTTTGCTGTTTACTTTGACCAGCTTCGAATCGTTACCAACATGCCATATATTCAATACTATTTAGTACTATTAAGCGTCAGAGAAGTTAATAGTATTACCTTTTCACACTTAGGTACTCCGAAAAAAGAAGAAATTCCTGCGCTAAACGAAAATGAACAATTTCGAAGTCACCCACTTTTTCAGTTTCACTATATTAGTAACTTCAATGATTTTTGTAACTGCGGTAGATATGCTGGCACAAGCACTTAAGCTAGAATTAGCTGATAGTATTTGCATTGAAGGAGTTAGTGTGGTGCTCAGCAGATCTGGTATTATGCGGGTAAAATACTGATCGAGCTTTTTTGCCACAACACACGCACATTTGCGAAAAAGATGTCTAAGCACTTTAGTTTGAAATGATGAATCTTCTTTCATTTCAGAGGACGAATGGTCCGCAAGTTGTTGTAATGGAGCAAAGAAAGCCTTACTATCAAGTTATAGACGGCATCCCGAGAAGTCCTAGCTTCTGCCCGGAATTATTGAGAGCAGCCTTGGAGTTTTGCGCACAGAAAGACGACGTCCTCATCACCGCATTCCCCAAGAGCGGCACACACTGGATGCTGTACATCACACAACTGATTCTAAAAAAAGGTCAACCTGTGAGTGGCCTAGAAGAGTTCACGCACAATATGCGCCTGCTGGGAATCGTTCAAATCGACGGTTGGAAGCCCAATCTCCCCCTGCGCCTGTTTGCCACCCACTTTCCATTACGGAAAGACACCATGAACCCAGATGCAAAGTACGTCTATGTAGCACAGAATCCGTGGGACTTGTGTGTCTCCGATTTCCACCACGTTACCACGTTCGATGTATTTCGCTTCCGGGACGGAACGTTCGAGGAATTCTTCGATGCGTTCCTGGACGGCGACTGCGCTGGCCAGGGAAACTACTTTGATCACGTGGTATCGGCCTACGCCTTGAAAGATGAGTCCAACGTGTTCTTCGTTACCTACGAGGAACTGAAGGCCGATGCTCGGGAGGTGATTTTGAGACTAGCCCACTTTCTGGCCGATGAGTACGGCAACATATTTGAACAGGACGCAGAGCTGCTACAGAAGCTTGTAAGTCGATGCTCCAGCGAAAACATGAAGCGCACTCTTGCACCTAATACATTTAAAGACATCGATCCTGAATGGCGCAACGCCACTGAAAGAATAATGGCAGCAAAGAGCGAAACACTTGTGGAAAGCGACAAGCAATTCAGCTACGTCAGGAATGGAAACGTTGGTGGCTGGCAGCCTTATTTTTCTCGGGACCAGCTGCTACGCTTAGAAGCAAGAATAAAGAAGGTGGAGCGGCATTCCTCTGTTATGAACCTTTGGAAAGACGTAAGAGAAGCGGCGCTAAGGCAGATTGGGATGAAGGAAAATAAATGATGCAAAAAAACAACATCAAATCTTTAAAAGGGAAATAATTATGGTGTTTCGCTTTATCTATGTGCCTCAAATTAACACTGTCGATAATATGGACAATGTTTGCCAAGGGCGTGCTGAGGCATGGCCGCTGGATGAAAGAGCGCACGGGTACGGCCCGCCGCGTGTTCCACAACCGGCGTGACAGGTCTAGCTCCCGAACCACCACTGCGACACAACGAAGGGGGGGGGGGCAGTTTTCGCGAGCACTTATAGAATCTCATGCGCGGCACGCTTGCGGTAGTTACTATTGAGCACGTGTATCTCTGTGTGACCCGCGAAATCTTCTTTTAATATCCGTCTGGCGTGTGCGCACCAGGTACTTACCGACCTTGCTTTTAGATACCTGTAGCCATTGCAAATTTTTGGTATTGTCTTACCCGAGATGGAACCTTGCACGCCAACCTGTGTTCGCGAAAGTAAGAATTGTGACCGCATTTTACTCGGATCTTACAAGATCACAATTAATACATCCGGAAGAGATACTTTTTTTTTGGAATCTAAATATTTGGGGTCATGTGAGTATGTCGCATCAGAAAATGCTGCTTCAAAGTTGATCACTTCATTTAGAATATTTTACGTCAGAAACTGCAGTTGCCACTATTCTTTTAAAACAAACTAAGATGGACTTCTCACTTCCTCCAAATATGCCCTAATATTCAAACAATGCAGTATTAGATGCAACAGCCACGAAATATACTTTGCATGTGTGTGATCTCATAACATTGGACTCGAGCCTCTTTGAAATTTCAGTGACTGTAATTTAAATGCTGGCAAGTGAGCGAGCCGTTATGAAGTGAATAATATGAAAACTGTGAGACGAAAAGAGCGATGAAATGCTGCACAATGTGAACACAACCTCTTACGTTCCTGCGCTTATGAGTGTTTCGTCTCTTTCCGTCTCGACGTTGTTGTGATAATGCAACTAATTCATCAGTGAACGCATAATCAAAACAAGATGTGTGAAAAAATTTTATTTATTCTCAATTTAGCCCTGACCCTGGCATTTTTATTTTTTTTACTTCTTTACACTTTTGCATAATCAAACGACTCAACAATTGCTACAGCTTGTGCGCCCAACTGTTGGCTTCTGTGTCTATCGACAATAAAACCATCCGTTCGCTCTTTTCATGTTAGCCTCTCCACGGGCAATGGCGAATCCCGATAGCACTCCAACACGCTTGTATTCTGGCAGTCTCCGTCATGCGGTTCCTTCATCCATTACTGTTTATTTGTTCTGCTATGTATCGTCGACAAATGGGCACTTGTGCTCGCTCAAACGAAAGCACGTCAAGTGCACTGCCCTACAGCAGCAGGGGTTTTGCGATGTGTACACATAATAAAAACGTGGTTGTCACTTAACACGGTCGTATATATATATATATATATATATATATATATATATATATATATCACAGCTGGTAATTTTTTCATCCACTTTTCTTTCTTCTTTCTTCTTATTTACATTCCATTGGTTCTAATAACTTCCCCTGTACATTCCTTGGCATTACTGTCTGTTATATCTCATTAATATTGTGTTAAACCACAGAAATACGAGCCCTTAGGTATACACTTCTCTCCCTTATATATATATATATATATATAGGCGAGAGATAAATCCAATGGTTCCGGTAGGAAATGCAGTCGAAAAAAGGAAGACGACAAACGTACGAAACGCAGTTTTTACTAACGTTTCGGCAGGTGGGCCTGCCTTCGTCGGAGGCAGGCCCACCTGCCGAAACGTTAGTAAAAACTGCGTTTCGTACGTTTGTCGTCTTCCTTTTTTCGACTGTGTATATATATATATATATATATATATATATATATATATATATATATATATATATATAAAAATATATATATATATACTACTGTGTACCAGATAACATGAAAAATATTTAAAATATATTTCTTTGATACGGTTTCAGAAATAAAACCTGTGAACGTCTATTGTAAAGTGTTCAAAAATCAATTGTCAAGCACTCTGACGGAGCAAACGCGAAAGTGCTGAATAAACGTCACAATATTCAAAATATGTTAGTTTAAGACATCCTCAGAAATAGAACAATGACTTTGTCACGCATGCAGTGCCATATGATTCAGCTACATGAAGTGTGGATTATTCTGTCAGCCTCAGAGCAAGAAGCTGGTTCTGAAAAAAAAAAGTCAGGTGCTCGGCACGCACAGGAAAAATCAATTGGTTTTTAACTAAATAGTGCCTCGTAGTCTACTAAATGTGGGATATCTCATCGCTGTGATAAATGAGATTTGAAAAAAAAACGCCGAATAGAAAAAATGAGTTGGTCACTGTTGCCACAAACACCAGCTAATTTGCTGCGGCTGTGGCCCCGAGGGAGCCGCCGCCTTCGTTTCCCCGTCCCTCCCGTCCCCGCCCCGACGTGCTGCAGCGGCCGCAACTTACCCTGCGGCTGACACGCACTCTCCCATAGAAATCCGCTCCACGCGGCAGGCCGTACCGTGCGCTTTTTGATCCAGCGGTCGTGGCTGCGACATTCGTAGTCAGAAAACACTTTATTTGAAAAGCTGACAAGCTTTTGCATTTACCTAAAAAATTGGGAGCCAAAAGCCATCTTTTTTTTTCCAAGTTCATGAGAGGTACAACGTTATATTAAAGAAACGGTAAATCACGGGGGGGGGGAGGGAGGGGGGGACTTCTTCCAAGGCTCTGCTGTCTATAGCAGATTGTAGCAGATTGGTGGACCTGAACTGTGGTCACCTTCAGAGTCCACTCAGCTAGTTGCGCCTCTCGCTAGCACGTCTGTATTGGGTGCGTATTTTCTTTGACAACTGCGGCGGGTTGTTCTGGCCAGACGAAGGTTATGTGTGTTAGCGTCTAAAAATTTCCGCCCCAAGCAGATGTGTTGATATATCTCTCTGGGTACACGACGTGAAACTATTGGAGACTGGGAAAAGTATTAGTGTGCACGCGCCACGAGTCCAGCGTTTGGTGTCTGTGGTGGTCATTGTCAAGAGGTGCCCCGAAGCGGCATACATCTTTGTCTAGTATACACGTCATATTACCCCGTCATGTGTATCCTCTTCAGTGGTGGGTGGTCGTCCGGCTCAACGGTGAGTATTCACGACAGAAAATAGCGCAAAGAAACGGGGACACAAGACGAGGACACACGGCACAGGCGCTAACTTCCAACATAATGTTTATTGCCACCGCACACTCGCCTATATCACCAAGAAAACATCACATGTCACGAATGGTGCGAAAAAAATTTAATAATTATCTAATTAATTAGATGCTAATTAATTATTTCCGTAATAATGAGTAATTAATACTGAATAATTAATTAGGTTAAATAATTATTTAAAAATTAATTTTTCGTGCGCATCATTCATGTCATGTGATGTTTTCTTGGTGATATAGGCGAGTGTGCGGTGGCAATAAACATTATGTTGGAAGTTAGCGCCTGTGCCGTGTGTCCTCGTCTTGTGTCCCCGTTTCTTTGCGCTATTTTCTCTCGTCACAATGCACCAACAAGCCCAAATTTCGATAGTGGTGAGTATTCAACCTTCCCTATGCAGTACTTCATTGCCACTCTCGCCCGTATTTACGGAACACCAGGATATTGCATGATCAAAAATATGTTCGCTTCCCAAAAGCTGGGGGGTTCTTGTTGGTATTAAGTTTTTTATGTGGATGCGACAAGCTGCCAGGGGGTCTGAGACCACGCACTCAGGTACACCATGTTGGTCTGCCTTTTGAGTGGCAATAGCGATAGCAGTTGCCTCGGCTGCCGTGGTGGATGCGGTGCAAGAGAGTGAACAATTGGACGTGTTGGTGTGCCAAGACTCGAAATAAGCATGGGATAAGTGTGGTCGAGGAGTTGACTTGTGTGCCATGGTTGACGCTACAGTGAAAGCAAAAGGCGAGCTTGCCCTTGCAGCTTTTAGTAGGTAGAGTACGTATCAGGTTGATACTTCAGTTGTTGCACCTTCTGTGCTGCAGCTGTCCGACCTCTTCGCTTGTACGGATGCATACGGCGAGGAATGGGCATCGTCACGACGAATTGTGTAATGTTTTGGGCGAGTAGGTGGGTGGCTTCTGTTAAATATCGGGGTGTGAGGATCACATGGAGCTTTCTCACCGAAACTTACGCCTACGCCGATTACTCGCCACTTTCGACGCCAGCCCACACGAATCATCGCTGAACTACACATCGCCCGCACTGAGCCGTTTTTTTTTTTTTGCATGGCGAGCACTGGTGTCACCGATGCCATTGGCCACAAGGGCCTGGGCGAGTTGTGTCACTGTTGCCTGCAACATCTGTTCGGCGCGCACCTCGCCCACTCCGCGGCTCTTTCGGGTGCCCAACGTTTTTTCACGATGACGACTCAGACTTCCCCACGGACAATCCATGGAATGCCACTCAAGTACATAGATCTGTCCCTCATTTTTTTATACATATAATTTCGATCGCGCAGAGCGCTAGAGGGAGAGCATATGTAACGCCACGCTAGATTTGGCCAGCTGGCTGCGTCAAAGAAGAAGCGAGCCACATGGCTCGGGTGGCGTGAGCCACGAGGATTTAGAGAATGGCTGAGCTCCTGGCCTGGCTGTACGCTGCACCGGAGACTCCGCCTACGCCTGCGTCCCAATTAAAAGATGTGACCTCAGCACGGTCTCGTCGCCGCCGTCTCGCCTATCTTTCCTCAACAGGGGTATGAACGCTACCCCTTCTACATCGACAAAGCAGCTAAGAAGCCAACCACCAACACGGAGCAAACCGACGGACACCGAGGTTTTTATCAAACCCACACAATATGCTGACGCATCGAGTCCTTCGAGCTTAAACCCCGTGCTAAGCCAAGCAGAGGGAGCAGCGGCAGCGATTCCGCTAGCCACAGAACATTTACGAAACCCCGCGTGAGATCACCGCCAAAGCAAACGTCACCAACTATGAGCCTCGACGATATGTACTTATAACATTTCGCCTTTCGCACTCTTCCTTCTGTTTCCTTTGAGTAA